CTATCGTAACACACCTAAGTTAACATACACTTACGACTATCGTAGTGCTGAGACTATCGTAACATCACCAATCTAACATATCTGTACTTTGACAGTTGAAACGCTTAGATCGTTTTGTTGAATGGGGGGCGGTTTCACGAAGAGATCGTAGCGCTGTAACTGACGTTAGTCTTGAGTTACGGATGTCGTAGTCCGGTGATAACATTGTGAAACAGACACCGGTGTGATCGTAAACTCCATACCTGAACATAGGCTTATGACAGTTATAGCACTGAGGTTGGTGTATACCCTGGCCTGTAAACACACACGGTTATTCAACAGAGCGGTGAACATCAGCGGGCTGCATCAGTTCGGGCTCTACTCCCAGCTCAACGAGACACTCACCATGACATCAGGGAAACCACTGAATTACTTCAAGAAAAAACACGCCGGCTTCACATATGATGGGGTCTACAACATGCAGGCATGTGGGATATGCGTTAAGTGAAAAAATATAACATAGAACGTACATATATAGTACTTAGTATACGGCAGAGCTCCAGACAAACTACGTGTTTGAAGACGATACGCCATGCATTGTCTTCATGGGAAGGATTTGACCCAGGTGTTTAGGTTGAAGAGCGAACACCGAAACCACTGGGCTAACCAAACCTTTTCAAAATTCCACGACACAAAGGAATAAAAACGCCACCATCATACCCAGAACGATTCGGGAAGGAGGACAATGTTGAAACGTATTCCGAATTTTTCGTGGAATGTCATCACTATGTGGAGTAGTCGCCAATATCCACACGTGTGCTCGATCAGGGCCGCGTGCCATCAGCCCTGAATAGGATCACGTCTTGTCCTCCAGAGATGCTGATGGCAGAATGTACTGACTTAGCGTTGCCATATAGCCAGAACTGGGTGACCAGGCCGCACACATATACTGCCATATGTCTATACTGCCATACGGAGTGAGTGAGTGAGTGATCGAGTGAGTGAGTGTGATACCAGATCACAAAGTCAGCGATCTATTGTGCCGGAACTAACTCTTAGTGTGTTGGTTCGAATCTCAGATAGGACGAACCTAAAGAGGTGCTAGAATCTGTACTTTACTGATAATGTATAGACACTATTAGACATTCCTAGTTTCCGTTGTTCAGTGATACAATTTTCCTTTTTCGAAAGCTTTGTCAAAATCTTTGTGAAACCAGAGTCTGGAATAAAAGTCGCCATTTTAAAAGTAGTGCGTTCCACACAGTTCCTTCCTGATTTCCTGATGCCACCTTCCTGGTGGCAACTTGTCTGTGGCAGTACCGAGCAGCGAGATAAAACTGGTTGACACAGAGCTTGTATGTCATTCCTATCACAGCGTGTCTCACTATACTATGGACTGAAGGAAGGATGACGTTCATGAACTGGTGACATCCAAGGACACAAGTATGATTTTAACAGTCTAAGGATCCGCGAACTCAAGATCAGCAGATCCTGGCACAGTTAAGTGACGCAGCTCTGAACAGCGATTTCCGTATCCTGGCCACTTTTTCAACTGTGCATGTTTTAATTTTCTCGGTTTTCTTTCCCTAACAGAATCAAGTCCAAATAGGTCAGGTCACACAATCAGACAATGAAATAAATATATATCTCCATTCTACCTTGACTTCAGTAAATACTAGATTGTGATTTGTTAATAAAAGTCATTCAGAGGTATATAATCACGTTATATACCTCTGATTTTCCAACACAATATGTTGTATATTTAAATGTTAATAACGCGGTTATGGTAGAATGGAGATACTCGTTCGGTTATTAAACAAATTTAGAGCTATTATAATTTCGTTTATACCTCTGACTTTCCAACACAGTTTATCTGCTAATTACTCCACAAGTGACACAGCTTTCAGACATAAATGAATGTCATTTTACGTCAAGAGATACCGAACATTTCACATAGTGTGGCGTGGTTTCTCTTACTGTATCTGACACTGTTAATTCTATCTGTCTTCAACAAGGCTCACTTATGACTCTATACAAGGCCGGCCTGTCGTATACCTAATAAGGAGAAACGCCTAATATGGAACACGCCATTTTACTGGAATATTTGCTGAATATTTCCATATATATACTAGACGATAAGAATATACCGGGTCAATTCACGCACGTGGAGAACAGGTCAATAGCATTTCCAACTAAGGCAGTTCAGTATGTGGTGCTCGGTCACCATTGGAGCTTCGAACTTAGGTAGAAATATTAGTGGAGATAGCATGCACAACAACTGGAACTGTGAACCAAAATGCTGAATGTTTCCTTGGTAGTTTACTTCTACAAGACTTATGTTTGTTGTTAAACACCCCATATATGATGAAAATAATCGCTTTTGGACAATCAGTGATTGAAAGCATGATCATCCATCATTAACCAAATCAGCGAGCCTGATCACCTAGTCTTGTTCATCGCCTCCTATGACAAGCATGGGTTGATGAAGACCTGTTGTAACCCGGATCTTCAACGGGAATGACAAACATGGGTTGCTGAAGACCTGTTGTAACCCGGATCTTCAACGGGAATGACAAACATGGGTTGATGAAGACCTGTTGTAACCCGGATCTTCAACGGGAATGACAAACATGGGTTGATGAAGACCTGTTGTAACCCGGATCTTCAACGGGAATGACAAACATGGGTTGATGAAGACCTGTTGTAACCCGGATCTTCAACGGAATGACAAACATGGGTTGATGAAGACCTGTTGTAACCCGGATCTTCAACGGGAATGACAAACATGGGTTGATGAAGACCTGTTGTAACCCGGATCTTCAACGGGAATGACAAACATGGGTTGATGAAGACCTGTTGTAACCCGGATCTTCAACGGGAATGACAAACATGGGTTGATGAAGACCTGTTGTAACCCGGATCTTCAACGGGAATGACAAACATGGGTTGATGAAGACCTGTTGTAACCCGGATCTTCAACGGGAATGACAAACATGGGTTGATGAAGACCTGTTGTAACCCGGATCTTCAACGGGAATGACAAACATGGGTTGATGAAGACCTGTTGTAACCCGGATCTTCAACGGGAATGACAAACATGGGTTGATGAAGACCTGTTGTAACCCGGATCTTCAACGGAATGACAAACATGGGTTGATGAAGACCTGTTGTAACCCGGATCTTCAACGGGAATGACAAACATGGGTTGATGAAGACCTGTTGTAACCCGGATCTTCAACGGGAATGACAAACATGGGTTGATGAAGACCTGTTGTAACCCGGATCTTCAACGGGAATGACAAACATGGGTTGATGAAGACCTGTTGTAACCCGGATCTTCAACGGGAATGACAAACATGGGTTGATGAAGACCTGTTGTAACCCGGATCTTCAACAGGAAGTTGTAACCCGGATCTTCAACGGGACATGGGTTGATGAAGACCTGTTGTAACCCGGATCTTCAACGGAATGAGCATGGGTTGATGAAGACCTGTTGTAACCTGGATCTTCAACGGGAATGACAAACATGGATTGATGAAGACCAGTTGTAACCCGGATCTTCAACGGGAATGACAAACATGGGTTGATGAAGACCTGTTGTAACCCGGATCTTCAACGGGAATGACAAACATGGGTTGCTGAAGACCTGTTGTAACCCGGTTATCCAGATATGTGAGGAACCCGTGGCAAAATGTATGTTACACAAGTGGTGTCTAGGCTGAGGTACTAGTATATTGTGTGTCTTGGGGTATGTGAAAACTGATATCTTAGAGTTATAGAATACACCTTCTAAAGATACCAGAAGCCTTCACAAACACTGGCCAGTAGAGATACTGGTTCATGGGGAATGTACTAAGCTTTCTGAAACAAAAACAGATTTATGCCTCCACTTCCCCTTTGATAGACCCACAAGATATGTACACCAGGTTTACACTTCAACACCTAAACAAGCAGTTGGTTTACAAGAAAGGCACATGACACATGATCTGCACTTCATCTCCTAAAAAATGGGGACCAACTGTCAAGTTGACTATAGTTGAGGAGAAAGCGAGGAAGTTACCCATCTTCTTCATCAACTTCATCATTTAGTGACTGGATACTGTACATCGCAAAGATAAATAGTGTTCCGCTCTTGATGCATTTCCGCTATACCAAGATATTTTTTTTATCAAACTGGGAAGGAATTTCTCATGTCTGTCGAACCCAAGGATTCGAAAGCTGTTCTCTGGCTACAGACTGAGAGGTTAGAAAACGACAATCTGTGCGTGGATTCGGAACCATGTAAAGACTTATAACATAGCGCCTGCTGTTCGAGTCCACTGAATGGAACCAGTGGATCACTTGGTGGCATGGGTGAAAGCGCGCCATCGTATCTCGATGCATTGGACATGGTTCATAATATCATTTCCTGTCCAGACACGATTGTTTTAAATACTATACAAACAAAACAATACAGAACAACGTTACGAAGACAGAGCCCAGTCACTGCCGACGAACAATGTTAGCTGGGTTAAATTTTAGAATCAATATGGACACATCCCTCTTAAAAGATTAGTAGCAAGTAGGTATTACGTCCAAACCTGGGGGCTTGGTCACAAAGCGCTGGCTTTATCGGCACAGTGCGTACAACCTATGGATACATTTCGATAATTAATTGACGGCTCGGAGAAACATCTGGGATGTCATCTGTTTGCACGTGCCCTCCGTTACCTGTTATCAAAGCATCTTGCTCCAGGTGTGCAGTTAACTGTTTATTCACAGAAACATTTTCTGAGAACGATGACCGAATGTCTCTAATGTACCACTGAATCCAGATATGTACCTTGTCTTGTCCAAAGCGGGAACTAGATATTGTGCAAGGAAAATATGTGAGGAGAGCATTTAGGGCTGTTAAAAATGATATCTCTTAACACACGAAACTGTAAAAGAAATTATTAAAACTCCTTCAAGGGTGTATTATCAAAAAGATTGTTACAATGACAATTTCTGATTTGTCTCGATTCAAGTTTTATTTCCCTTACCTGGGCGTCAGAGTTCGCACGATATCCTCTCCAGCAGCCGAACTCAATCTGGCGAGCAGACGACACTGCTCACGCCGTCCTACCTCCACGTGCTGCACTATTTATAACCAATCAGCTGTTAGCTTGTGGTCGGTCAAGGGACCCGATGGGTTGACGGCCAGCCGTTTTGGCCAATGGATGACAGCTGATACTTACTTTCATGCACGTATCTATATCAGCTATGCTCTGGCCTGTCTATATGGCAGGTAGTTTTCATGCAATTTATAATGGAATTTTCGTGGTACATAATTTAAAACTATGGCAGAGGAATAATCGTAAACTCTACTGTGAATAATGTATCCTGCGCGATGAAGGTACAAATTCTAGGGATGTGTAGTTGCCGTGGAAGTCGACACACCCCATTTGCTTCCGAGTTTACAAAATCAGTACATCGTGACGCTGCTTGTTTCTACACGCACGTTCTCGACCCGTTCCGTAACGCGATCGTAGAACTGCGGCAACTGCCTGCACTGCTTTAACTAAGTCTTACGACAGTCATAGAACTGGGGCAATCGTCACTCCCACACTTTAGTTTAGACTTATTCTGTAACAAAAGACGAATTCACATACATTAACGTAGACGCGTACTTTAACATAGGTTTACAACTGGGATACAGTTATTGACTTACGACAGACGTCGCAACTTCTGCGTTTTCATAACATAAACGTACAAACAGACGTAGCGCTACCATCGTAAAATCCATGTTTTCATAACATAGACTTACGACAGACAATCCCGTTATAAGATGGGATTGTCTGTTAATTTGCTATCAACTGTTTCAGTATCGAACCCATTCGTCAAGGTTGTACGGTACCTTTCCAGGTATAAACACGTTAGACCACCACGCTGTTTCCTACGCTCATTGATGATTTTAGAAATTAATACGAAAAGGACATCTGTCCTCTCACATCTCAGGTGTAGGATCTGTATAGCATCTCCAGTGTAGGATCTCTGACGTATCTCCAGTGTAGGATCTCTGACATAGCTCCAGTGTAGGATCTCTGATATATCTCCAGTGTAGGATCTCTGATGTATCTACAATGTAGGATCTCTGACATAGCTCCAGTGTAGGATCTCTGACATAGCTCCAGTGTAGGATCTCTGGCATAGCTCCAGTGTAGGAACTCTGATATATCTCCAGTGTAGGATCTCTGATATATCTCCAGTGTAGGATCTCTGACGAATCTCCAGTGTAGGATCTCTGACATATCTCCAGTGTAGGATCTCTGACATAGCTCCAGTGTAGGGTCTCTGACATAGCTCCAGTGTAGGAACTCTGATATATCTCCAGTGTAGGATCTCTGACATAGCTCCAGTGTAGGATCTCTGACATATCTCCAGTGTAGGATCTCTGACATATCTCCAGTGTAGGATCTCTGACATAGCTCAAGTGTAGGATCTCTGACGTATCTCCAGTGTAGGATCTCTGACATAGCTCCAGTGTAGGATCTCTGACGTATCTCCAGTGTAGGATCTCTGACATAGCTCAAGTGTAGGATCTCTGCCATAGCTCCAGTGTAGGAACTCTGATATATCTCCAGTGTAGGATCTCTGACATAGCTCCAGTGTAGGATCTCTGACATATCTCCAGTGTAGGATCTCTGACATATCTCCAGTGTAGGATCTCTGACATAGCTCAAGTGTAGGATCTCTGCCATATCTCCAGTGTAGGATCTCTGACATAGCTCCAGTGTAGGATCTCTGGCATAGCTCCAGTGTAGGATCTCTGACATAGCTCCAGTGTAGGATCTCTGACATAGCTCCAGTGTAGGATCTCTGATATATCTCCAGTGTAGGATCTCTGACGAATCTCCAGTGTAGGATCTCTGACATAGCTCCAGTGTAGGATCTCTGACATAGCTCCAGTGTAGGATCTCTGACATAGCTCTAGTGTAGGATCTCTGATATATCTCCAGTGTAGGATCTCTGACATATCTCCAGTGTAGGATCTCTGACATAGCTCCAGTGTAGGATCTCTGACATATCTCCAGTTTAGGATCTCTGATATATCTCCAGTGTAGGATCTCTGACATAGCTCCAGTGTAGGATCTCTGACATAGCTCCAGTGTAGGATCTCTGACATAGCTCCAGTGTAGGATCTCTGACATAGCTCCAGTGTAGGATCTCTGACATAGCTCCAGTGTAGGATCTCTGACATATCTCCAGTGTAGGATCTCTGATATATCTCCAGTGTAGGATCTCTGGCATAGCTCCAGTGTAGGATCTCTGATATATCTCCAGTGTAGGATCTCTGACATATCTCCAGTGTAGGATCTCTGATATATCTCCAGTGTAGGATCTCTGGCATAGCTCCAGTGTAGGATCTCTGACATATCTCCAGTGTAGGATCTCTGATATATCTCCAGTGTAGGATCTCTGGCATAGCTCCAGTGTAGGATCTCTGACATATCTCCAGTGTAGGATCTCTGATATATCTCCAGTGTAGGATCTCTGACATAGCTCCAGTGTAGGATCTCTGACATATCTCCAGTGTAGGATCTCTGATATATCTCCAGTGTAGGATCTCTGGCATAGCTCCAGTGTAGGATCTCTGATATATCTCCAGTGTAGGATCTCTGACATATCTCCAGTGTAGGATCTCTGATATATCTCCAGTGTAGGATCTCTGGCATAGCTCCAGTGTAGGATCTCTGACATATCTCCAGTGTAGGATCTCTGACATATCTCCTGTGTAGGATCTCTGACATAGCTCCAGTGTAGGATCTCTGACATATCTCCAGTGTAGGATCTTTGACATATCTCCAGTGTAGGATCTTTGACATATCTCCATGTAGGATCTCTGATATATCTCCAGTGTAGGATCTCTGACATAGCTCCAGTGTAGGATCTTTGACATATCTCCAGTGTAGGATCTTTGACATATCTCCATGTAGGATCTCTGATATATCTCCAGTGTAGGATCTCTGACATAGCTCCAGTGTAGGATCTCTGACATATTTCCAGTGTAGGATCTCTGACATATCTCCTGTGTAGGATCTCTGACATATCTCCAGTGTAGGATCTTTGACATATCTCCAGTGTAGGATCTTTGACATATCTCCATGTAGGATCTGGGACACATCTCCGAGATTGATCTCTGACAGCCCTCCGCAGTTGGATCTCTGACATCTCCATGATGGATCTCTGTCAGCCCTCCGCAGTGGATGTCTGATATCTCCGTTTTGGATCTCTAACAGCCCTCCGCAGTTGGATCTCTGACACCCCAGCCCTGTTGGATCTCTGACAACCCACTGCAGTTGGATCTCTGACAGCCCTCCGCATCTAGGTCTCTGACAGCCCTCCGCAGTTGGATCTCTGACATCTCCATGATGGATCTCTGTCAGTATTCCGCAGTTGAATCTCTGACACCCCAGCCCAATTGGATCTCTGACAGCCCTCCGCAATTGGATCTCTAACAGCCCTCCGCAACTGGATCTCTGACAGCCCTCCGCAGTTGGATCTCTGACAGCCCTCCGCAGTTGGATCTCTAACATGTTTGTGTTGGATCTCTGGCAGCCCTCCGCATCTGGATCTCTGACACCCCAGCCCTATCTCTGACATATTTCCTACGTGAAGTATCTGTGACAGCTCACTTGCAGGACAGTGCCAAGTGACATATATCATATGCAGCCTGGCATGCTCAACAGCTGTATGTTGTATGTGTGTCAGGAGAGTGATCCAAGAGTGCACTATAAAGGTTGATGGAACAGTTATCAATGGCCTACATTTTTTCAATGGCCTACATCAATCTTCAACCGGCAGGTCAAGCGTGCATTCTGACTTTATCTCATACGATTCAGGTATTTTTAATGAGTTAAAGTTCGGTGTCAAGCCTGTAGAATGGAGTTATTGTCAGTCCGTGTGTACTGTGTGTCGAACTATTTCAGCTTGTCCTTTCGAAATCAGGGGTAGCCAAATATTTGAGATGACGAAAATCCGGGTTCGATTCCCTGAATGGTTTCAATGTGTGAAGCTACATTTATGTTGTCGCGATATTGCTTGGATATTGCTAAAAGCGGAGTCCAGTTTGATTATACGCTGATGAGGGAAAATGTCAAAATCCCCTCCCTCCCACCCCTAAACACACACACATCTCACTCTCTCTCTCTCTCTCACACATCTCTCTCTCTCTCTCTCTCTCTCTCACACACACACACACACACACACACACACACACACACACACACACACACACACACACACACACACACACTGTTTGTCTGTACACACAGCACAGCCTAGGTCCAAGTAGGGGATAATTTGCGGTTAGAGAAATATCATCAGACTGTTCCGTTATCAGCCTGTAAATCCCTTATCAACGACACCCTTTTGTTATGAGGTGGCCACAGACGGGACCAGTCGACTTACTGACATGTGTCGCTCGGTCCTGCGTCTGGTGGATGACCCAGGTGGTCAGAGCGGGTGTCGTCGACCCCTGTGACGTCACAGGGTATTCTAGGCCACCGGTTTCTCGGCATGTCATCGTTTGTCGACAATGAGGTCACAGTTAGTGCTGAGCTGAGCTCCAACGTCCGACCAACGTCTCCAACACTACAACATGACGTAGTAACAGATTGGTAAGACCTACTCGTACTAACGTCTCCAACACTACAACATGACGTAGTAACAGACCGGCAAGACTTATTCGTACCAACGTCTCCAACACTACCACATGACGTAGTAACAGACCGGCAACACTTACTCGTACCAACGTCTCCAACACTACCACATGACGTAGTAACGGACCGGTAAGACCTACTCGTACCAACGTCTCCAACATTACCACATGACGTAGTAACGGACCGGCAAGACTTACTCGTACCAACGCCTCCAACAATACCACATGACGTAGTAACGGACCGGCAAGACGTACCCGTACCAACGTCTCCAACACTACCACATGACGTAGTAACGTACCTGCAAGACCTACTCGTACCAATGTATCCAACACTACCACATGACGTAGTAACGGACCGGCAAGACCTACTTGTACCAACGTCTCTAACACTACCACATGACGTAGTAACAGATTGGTAAGACCTACTAGTACCAACGTCTCCAACACTACCACATGACGTAGTAACGGACCGGGAAGACCTACTCGTACCAACGTCTCCAACACTACCACATGACGCAGTAACGGACCGGTAAGACCTACTCGTACCAACGTCTCCAACACTACCACATGACGTAGTAACGGACCGGGAAGACCTACTCGTACCAACGTCTCCAACACTACCACATGACGTAGCAACAGATTGGTAAGACCTTCTCGTACCAACGTCTCCAACACTACCACATGACGTAGTAACAGATTGGTAAGACCTACTCGTACCAACGTCTCCAACA